TGTACGTACATACCACAGGGAGGAAAAAATAAAATAGAGTAAATATATTTTTGGTCCTCAACAAATTTCACGATGCCCACTTTAGTCCCTAGTAAATAAAAAGACCCATCGTTGTCCCTAAGAAATTCAAAATGGACCCATTTTAGTCCTTTTAGGGACTAATATAGATCTTTTTTGAATTTGTGAGGAACTACGATTTCAACTAAATGAGTCCATTTTGAATTTCTTAGGGACCATGATGGGCCTTTTTATTTGCTAGAGACTAAAACAGGCATCATGAAATTTGCTGAGAATCAAAAATGATATTTACTCAATAAAATATAAGAGAGAACGAGAATTTGCTGGCATTCCCTTTCGGCGTCACGTGGTGGAACTCCATAAACGGCCAATCTCAATTATGTGGATGTGTTAAAAGGAGAATATCTTTAGTGGTAGGGTGCATCGAGTTTTTGATGTACTTTTGATTTATAATATAATATATAATTTATTTTTATTAAATTATTAATAAAATACGTGTCATATTGTTAGTGAAAAATACACAAAAAATAAAATAAAATTCGATGCATTTGCAACTCTAAAAATTTTTTCATCTTAAAGATGTAGTGTTATAATTTACTATCTTCTCCAATGCGTAAGGTAATTATATAAGAATCAAGAATATAAATAACTTTTAAATATAAAAATATATAATTATATTTTATCAAAATAATTTTTTATTAACATCATAATATGGTTTAATAGAAATACTAAAAAGCCTTAAAAATTAAAAAAATGACGAATAAGTGGAACCAAATTTTTTTTTTTTGTTAGATAGTGGAAGGAAATACTATATAAGAAACTAAGAACATTTGTGTATTTTTTGAGTGAAAAATTAATAAAAAAACCCTACAGAAAACTTGAGCGTGTATATCCCTGAACTCTTGATAGTAAATCCCTAAATTTGAATAATAGTTAATCTAAAACAATAAAAAATTTAAAATAGAAAAAGTAAGTGTGAGAATGCATATAACATAAAAAGTTTTGATTTTTCTAAAGTAAAGTGTGTATTTTAGAGAAGAAAGTGTGAAATTGTATTTGTTAATTAAAAGTTAATGCAATGGATTTTAAAAACTTTCATAATTCATTTTATATATACATACATTTCATCACTATTTTACCTATTTTTTTAATTGAAAATTGTGATTTTATATTTATTTTTTTCTAAGGTGTAATTTAAAAGAGTCAAATTTGTCATTAAAAGTTACATGCTGAAGCTATAATGCAGTGAAAATGATGTAATAATATTTTATGAATTTGGCTTACTGAGTGTTTTATAAATACTTTTTAAAGAAAAAATATTTAATAAATAATATGACATTGAATATATTAATTTTTTTATTTAATACTTTATTTTTTCAAATTCTTAATTAATTTTATGAAGACACTTATTAACATTTTCATATTTCAAATATGGAAAAAGTGTTTGTCATTTTAAATGACACAACTTATATCCTTTTACTCTCACAAAGAGATGGAACCCACACCTTTATTTTTGTCTGTCCACTCTGTCTCCTCCTTTACCTCCTTTACACACTTTTCCCTTCAAATATATGCATATATGTGTGCTACAGAGATATTGTTGACGATTTTTTTTTTTAAACGCTGCTTTTATTGAATAAGTTTATTTTCAAGAAACTTTTTTATTCAAAAAGTACTGTTTTATTTTTGTCGTATTATTATTATCAAAGTAATTATTTTGTTTTGGGTCATATTTACCGTTAAAGGTAGCTTACAATGCACTCAGCATAATGTTTTAAATCTTTTTAATTAATTTGAAACGAAGAGTTTTTGGGCTTTTTAATTTTATTGGCAAATTATTTAGTAATTTAATGTAAGTAAAATGAGAAGCAGGAGTATGCGTGTTTAAGTCACGTATTATTTTTATGTGTCTTGCAAAACACAACTTAACTTTTGCACAAATTGTGTTTTCGATCATGTGAAGTGAAACTTAAATGGACACTTTTTTTATGTGTATTTTCATCCGCATTAAATTAATAAATATATTATTTCTATGTGTGTGTATTTATGCAAAAATCAGCATCGTAAGACATACAACTTGGCAGTGCACATTCAATCTGCGTTTATGATGATGTGAAATTTAAATGTGCATATTTTTCATGTGTATTTCACCCGATAAATATTCGAAACAAAATTTAAATCGGTAATATATCGTGAATTTTGTATCAGAATGGTTAAAATGCAATATTTGTTTGTTTTTAATTTTTTGGTAATACTAGAAGGTGTTTGGTATAGGAGATATTTTTTTTACTGAGAAAAAAAGAATCAAGGAATATAATAAGAAATTATTTTTCCCGCGAAAGTAATGAAATGTGTTTGATAAGCCAGAATTTTGTCGGAAAAGTTGGGTTGATTTTACTAATGCTACGTTTGATTGATTGTAAAATATTAATGAAAATTTAAATCAAAATTATCAAATTATCCATCAACCGAAATTACCAAAGTTGGGTTAATTCATACATAAATATATGTTTCAGTATTTTATAATTCTTTATTTTTATACATTTTTTCTTCTACCCATCATTAATGATAACTGGTGGCTGAGTGCATCTTTGTCTCAAAACAATAAAAGTAGATTCTGAGTTCATAGAAGAAAAAAATTAGCATGGACTAAGTGGGATTTTTTTTTTAGAAATGTGTAGTTGAAAATAGGAATATTGGGGAAATTTTTAGGCAAAAAAATTAATTTATTGTTTTTTTAATAAAAAATTACGAATAAGTAGTCGTTTTGAAATTAATTACGAAAATATAGCAGTTAAACACGCCCCATAGGGGTGTGACCGGTTGGAGAGAGACACGCCCAATGTTGGGCGTGTTTCACCAGGTGCTGCCACGTGGCACAAAAGTCAACAGTTTGACCGTAAAACTTTGGAAGTCTATAACTTTTGACTCGGGTATCCGAATTAGGTAATTTTTTTTTGAATCCACATAACTTTCCGAGATTTACGTAATGACACCTCGTTTGGCATATTTTGTCTCTCAAAAAAAATTGAATTTACAATAATGATACCATAAGAACGTTTAAACAAAAATTAGTGGACAGAAAACCACTGTTATGATTAGAAACATTCATAATAAAGATCCTTATGATTATGGTAAGTTATGATAAGGTTAATTATGTATGTTATTGAGATATATATTAAAATTTTGAATGAAGAATTTTATGAAATTTATAATTAATAAAAGTTAACATCTATCGGTGACAGAATGTCGAATAATTTATATTAAAAAGTTAAGTGAGTGCTTTTCGTTTTATTTTGATTTTTAAGTTTTTGTTCATTATTATAAAAATGTTAGATTATTTTTAGTAATAATTATTTGGTAACAAAGTCATGTATGTCATTTTTAATAATTATGGTATCATGTTATCAAAAAATAAAAAATAATTATGGTATCATTGTTGTAAATTCAAATTTTTTTGTGAGAGACAAAATAGGTCAAATTAGGTGTCATTACGTAGATCTCGAAAAGTTATGTGGAATCAAAAAAAAATTACCTAATTCGGATACCCGAGTCAAAAGTTATGGACTTCATAAGTTTTACGGTCAAATTATTGACTTTTGTGACACGTGGCAGAACCTGGTGAAACACGCCCAACATTGGGCGTGTCTCTCTCCTCAGTCATGCCCAACATTGGGCGTGTCTCTCTCCTTGGTCACGCCCAATGTTGGGCGTGTCTCTCTCCAACTTGGTCACGCCCCATGTGGGCGTGAGTCACGCTTAGGTCACGCCCAACATTGGGCGTGTCTCTCTCCAACCGGTCACGCCCCTATGGGGCGTGTTTGACTGTTATATTTTCGTAATTAATTTTAAAACGACTACTTATTCGTAATTTTTTATTAAAAAAACAATAAATAAATTTTTTTGCCGAAATTTTTATCCTCAGATTTTTTTTTTCATTTCATCCTACCAAACATGGTAAAAAAAACTTCCCCACACCACTTTCCCATTCTTCCAACTAAAATAGTCATACCAAACACCTCCTAAGGTAGTGTTTGGTAGAAGATTTATTTTGAAATTGATGAGAAACTGTAAGTGAATATTGGAAAATACCACGTTTGGTTCAAGTTTTTGAAAAAAAATACTAGGCAAATAGGATAGATGGGGAGATGACTTTTGTCTTGATTTTTAGATGAAATTCACTGTTACAAAATACCACTTGAGATGTGGTATTTTGAGATAACTGGGGAAGTGAAAAAATAGGTGCGAAGTTTCTTCCGAACATAGATTTTGCAAATTTAAATAAATTTCACTGGTAATATTTCGGTCAACCAAACAATTTTTTTTACATTTTCCTACCAAACTCACCTTTCAACCATTTCTCTAGTAATTATATTTTCTTAGTATTCAAAAAATTTCTCCTCAACCAAACGCCTCCTAAAGAATTTCAGCAAAGGATATTTATGGAAAGAAGATGAAAACTGAGAAGTGTAGGTACGTGATAAATAAAGGACAGTACTAGCTGAGCTTTATTCAAAACGTGGGCAATTGCGTTAGTCCATATCCAGATGTAGGAGGAGTTTGGACCGTTGATTTCGATCAGAAAAGGACGGGCGAAAAGTAATAACGAAAAAGGAACATTGTGTGTCATTTTAAAAAACACAAATTAATATTTTTTTTAAGAGAAATAAATACAAAGAAATGAAACTTATATCTTTATTTTTTTGAATAAAACCCACACATCTTTGTATTTATCTCTCTTTTAAAGAGAATAAGTTTGTTTCACTAATGAAAAACTGCAAAATAAGTAGGAGGAGCGTGGCTGTAGAAAGAATGAAACCAATAATCTAATAATGGACGTAGATGGAAATTAGCCTCCAAAATTAACCATCTCATCACATTATAAATAGGGAGGACTGGAAGGCCTTGTTATTCACAAGCATAACTCTTATTATCAGCATTCTTTCCATCTCCTGAGTGGTTGTTATTTTTATTAGTGAGAGTGAGCATAATGGCTGCCAAGCTTTCACTGAAGGCTCTCCTGGGCCAAACCACAGAGAGTGAGCATAACCCATTGACCATGTCTGATGAGCAGATTTTGGAGCAAATTTACTCAACCCATGTCCACACTCACACAAATTTTGATGTATCCTCTCTTTTCACCCTTGTTGACAACACCCTTAAGCGTTCAACCCAAATTGTTGACAATATTGTGCAGGTATACATACACCTCTAGCCTTAATGCTTTCTTTCTTTCTTCCTTCCTTCCATCAGTTTCTACTTCACATTTCTCCTTCAAATATCCATGCACTTAATCTTAATCAATTTTTCACAGGGTTCCCAACCAAGCTTGGAGCACATAGATGACAATAACCCCCAAGTCAATTTCGCTTCACCACTCTGTACCCTGAAGCAGATTTCTTCTGAGGTCATTCATTGATCCAAAATTAAACTGAAAAAAAAAAGGAATATACATATATATATATATATATAAAAATATAAACTTTACTAGTGAATTAAAATCAACAAGTTTAGAACATTATGAGTGGCTAGTTGTTCATGAACGTAACACAGTGAATTTAATTGTGGCAGATGTCGTGCAAGCATCCGGGTGAGGAAATAGCTCACAAAACAACATTGGCCATACTTAACAAGCTCTCAAATTATGAATGGGATGCAAAAGCTGTGCTTACACTGGCGGCTTTTGCACTTGATTATGGAGAGTTCTGGCTGCTTGCACAGCATCAGTCAACAGATCTTCTAGCCAAATCTGTGGCTGTTCTGAAGCGAGTGCCAGTGCTTGCAAGGCCAGCATCAGTGCAAAAACATCGCCAAGCTATTACTGAGATTAATAGTCTGGTCAAAACAACTTTGCAAGTGATTGAATTAATCTTTCAGTTGGAGAGACTTACAACTAGTTATGACACAAAGACTGTACCTGCCTTGTTGTCCTTCATAGAACAAATGCCTGTTGATGTCTACTGGGCTATCATCACTGTTGCCTCTATTGTCACTCAAATCGATTGCCTCACTACTGAATCGTGAGTAACCTGCATTTTCATCTTCTTCTTCTTTTCTTCTTTTTTTTTTTTTTTTAGCATTCTCAACTAAAAATACTAATTATTCATTTATTCCTTACCCATAAATGAACTAGAAGGTACAAGCATTTTCGTGAGTTAATTTTTTAATATAATATTAATAACCAATTTTTTGCAAGAGGGTTATGTTCGATATAAAATTATTTATACTATCAACTTTTGAAAGATGTATATATGCTAGTTATAAATCTCTCACGAGACTTGTCTTTCATTTAAGCTTTAAGCAAATATATTTTGTCCATGTTCAAGGTTTAAATAACTTTTTTGTCCAAAAAGAAAAAGTGTTAGATATAAAGTGATATAAAAAAAAGTGCCTTGTATCTTAGAAGAGTTCATGCTTCACATAAAATAGACAATTTTCCTGTTTATGAAATGCCAAAAACCTTCTTTATGATTTTATTATCAATTGTTAATGGGTTTTACGAATCTTATCTTAAATAGATAAGTTATCTCTTGTCATAGAGACAAATTTATAGCTCCACCACTTGAAAAAAAAAAAGACGGCACAATTATCGAAGTGTGTAGGAGAAAAACTTATCTAATGTAAATGTAGCATGAGATTAGTTTTTCTCATTGTTAATTAATATTAATTAAACGTATCGCTTTACCTGTTTTAATCTACCTATAATTGTTTGATTTAAGGGAGCACAAGCAAGAACTGTCCCACTATGGTCAAAAGATTAACATCATACTGAGCAAGCTGAGGAAGCAAATCACGCTCTGCAGACAACAGATAGGTCAGTACGGGTTTTCCAGTTATCTCTGTTCATTTTCCTTAAAGCAAGTAAACTTAGCAAATGTTGAAGAAAAAAAAAAAAAGACTTGAAATTGTAAACAAGATGCTAATTAGATGATTTATCAATTTTTTTCAGCGGACGCAAAATATTTTACAGACCTCGTGAAAATATTACAAACCCCCACTGAAGTAATGGAGGTGTTTAAGTTTCTGATTTTTTCAATGGAAGCTCCACAGCCACTGTTTGATGGTGCTACTAAAACTACGGTTCGTGACTCTTTGTACATGCACATGGAAGAGACAAATTGTAAAAAAATTATTAAATATGTACGAAAATATAATCTTTAATATAAAATTATATTCTTTAAAATGATAAATATTTCTCCCAAATAAAAAATAATTTTAGAATGTGAAATTTTTGTTTTTAACATTTTATTGTTTAGTTTCATCTTCTAAAACATATAAAAGTTTTATAAAATCTCTCCCAATAAAGTATAGAAAATATATAATTAACTTAAATGAAATTTTAAAAATATTTTGATCTATAATAGATATAAATAATTAATTAAACTCAAATATATTTAAAATTAAACATTTTATTTTTTAATAAAAAATAACTGAAAAATTTAACCATCTTTTGAAGAAAAAAACTAATTTAATCTATAAGTGAAAAAATTCCTAATTCGGTTGGAAATGATCAGCTTAAGGGCTTTGTTTTTTAGGCAATAATATCACTTCACAATAAGAATAAGACTATTTACATTTGTATATCTCGATTTTGATTTTTTAATGAAATATTAATTTGAGAGATACACATACGATTTATATTAAGACTATAAACATTCAGAAATATTAAGTTTTACTAGAATTTGTGCAAATAAATAAATAAATTAAAACTTCGATATCAAACTGAATATATAAAAGTGGATCTAATGTTGGAAGAAATATGTACGATAGGATTCGTACGTTGAAAAGCGATGATCAAGAACGGAAAAAAATTTCTCGCAATGAACCTAAAAATTGATTAAAAAAAATAAAAATCTTTTAGCTAATATTTAAATTGTTTGATTTATAAAAAAAAAAAAAAACATTTAGTGTCTATTTTTCTTGATTCATGCATAGCCCTTTCGAATTGGTTTTAATTCAATTGTTGTTGCCTGGTCAGGTTGACATAACTGTGCTAAAGAAGAAGCATGTGTACTTGTTCATTTCCACACTAGACGTCACGGAGGAAGAAATTTCAGTACTCCGACCAGTTTATGATTCAATTAAAACAAAAGATCAGTATAAGATTGTGTGGATTCCAATTGTTGAGGAATGGACCGACCAGCTTCGCAAGAAATTTGAGGTTTTGGCAAGCAAGATGCCTTGGTATGTGGTGCAACACTTTGGACCCATTGCAGGGTACAAGTACATTGTGGAGGAATGGCACTTCCAAAAGAAGCCTATTGTTGTGGTGTTGAATCCTCAAGGGATGGTGCAGCATACAAATGCATTCCATATGATTCATGTTTATGGAATGAAGGCCTTTCCCTTTACTCGTGTGGATCAAGAGAGAATTGACAGAGAAATTAACTGGGTTGGCTCCGTAGTAGGCAACATTCACCCCAACATAACCACCTGGGTAAGTACATTTCACAAATCAATTAGGATATATATAAATGCAGTACTCATTTGAAATCCTATAAATAGTTTAAGTTTAATTTGGGCATCCACAAATTTTGAAGCTTTTTCTAGTAAATATTACCTCGTGCATTGGTATTTTTTAAATTAGCATTGGCATAAAACTTAAGTACAAGGTTTTGGAATAACACTCTTGATGCAGATCAAAGAGGAAAAGTACATTTTCTTCTATGGAGGCAAGGATAAAGGTTGGATCCAAGAGTTCACTAAGTATGCGACTACCCTTGCAAATGATGTCACCTTAAAGGAGGCAAAGATTTCAATAGAGTTGTTCTGTGTGGAAAGGGAAGATAAAGGCCTCATAAACCGGTTTTGGAGTGGCATTGAGAGTTTGTTTGTGACTAAGGCTCACAAGACAGTTGATGCAGTGACTCAAGAAGTGCAAAAGATGCTCTCATACAAGAATGAAACTGGATGGGCTCTCCTCAGCAAAGGGTCATCTGTGGTGGTGAGTGGTCATGGAAACACAATCTTGAAGACTGTGGCAGAATTTGAGAAATGGAAAGAGGTTGTGATCAAGAAGGGATTTGAGTTCTCCTTCAAAGAATACCACGAGAGGATTGTGAGAACCACTCATCGCTGCTCACACCTTGAGATTCCTATTGTTGCGGGAAAGTTACCAGAGACCATAAAATGCCCTGAGTGTCCCAATACAATGGAGATTTTCATCAGCTACAAATGCTGTCACAATGAGAATACTGCAAATGCCAAACACTAGAATTGTCTGTGGTTTGAAGTTCTTTGTTGAGTGTGGTTTGAATTTCTTTGTTGTCTTCAGTCAAGAGTTAAGGTCAAAGAGAGCTACTCCTATTCTGCGCCAGCGCTACTTTTAGGATTTAGCTTCTCTTGTTAAATAAAGATGACCCTGTCATTCAAAAAATAAGTTGTTCCTTCTTCTTTGTAATCTGTTGCTTGTAATCTCAAAATTTACGTATCTAACTATGATTCTCTATAGTTTGTGTTTTTTCTAGCTAGTAAGTTTCTTCGTACTTTTACCATTGTTTTTCTAGCTAGTAACTACAAATTAAATTTCCACATCTAAACGTGGTGTGACAACCTTTTATGCCTCAAGAAAGGGAATTGAAGTCACTTTTGTTTTTCTATGCTCTTCCCTTTTTGTTTCTAAAGAAAAATTTCAGATCTGCTATAGTCAACACTCAACAGATCAGAACCATGTTTTTACTGCCACGGATTGGATAAGACGAATGCAAAAATCTAAGAGATCTTTGTCCGTGGCCTTAGTTATTCTTATAGGGTTAAGCAAAGAAAAATAAATGATAAATTTCATGGGTCGCTGGTTGACCAAAAACATTAAGTATTAGGTATTTAGGTTTATAAGTCTTTCATTTATGTTACTTATTTTTTTCTACTTAGAACGGCTTTGTGTTCTTTGATTTAATTTTTCTACTTACATATGTTTCTACTAAGATGGCCTTTGACTTCTCATTTAAAGAATTACCATGACAGGATTGAAATTTTTATTACTACCAGAGTTAATTGACTTTTTTTTATTATTGAAAAATTAATTAATGCCATTTTTTTTCTTTTAAAAAAAATTACAAACAAAATCGGGGTCAACATAATTTTGTAACAACTAAAATAGTGATTTACTTCAATACAAAAAAAATTAAAAAAAATTAGTGATTTACTTTATTTTATCATAGGCCCAACAGCCAATTCGTGAATAGGCCCCTTTACACATGGATCCGACGGCCTTGCGTAATTCATGGTTGCTCTGGTTCTAACCGTGTGAACTTGGGTTCCTTCCATCATGCGTTTAATGTGACCCGGTCAGTGAACCGAATCCAAGCTTACAAGACCCAGCCTCCTGCACCTACAGAAACTGGGCTCGGGCTTAAAAGGACCCGGAAGTTGCCCAATTTTTTAAGGACTATCAGTTATTCCTTTTTGGCTGCAACACATCTTGTGTGGAGACAGAATCTGCTTGCACTGATTCTGTTTCAGATGTGCCACCCTTAAATGTTTTTGTGAAAGTAAGATGTACAATACTTGACTGGTTATAGCTTTTCCGTAATCTTTTAGCAAAACATGATTAATAATAATGAAAATGACTGTTTTACCTAACCTGGTAATTAAGCTACCTTTTATTCTTACAATTTTTTTTTATTTTTATTTTACATTTTCTAGGTGCGAGACTAATTTTTATTGACATACCGATAATATCCCTCTCCACAAATATTTTTTCAAGAATTTTTCTTTTGAACATTTTCAAGATCTGAAACTCCTAATAATAATAAAAAAAACCTCTTAACCCCACATTAATATTACGTCATTGACACCATTTTTTTTTTACATATTTCTTATAGTTTGTTTAGTACATTCTTTTTTTAAGTCAAAAGTTATTTTAAAGCTTAAGTTATTTGATGATTATATAAAATTTTGATGATGTTTTTAGGGTTTTGAAAAAGGGATATATAATTAGGGTTGGCAAAATAGGTCAATCCGTAATCAACCCAAAAAAAAAAACGAGCTGAGTTAGAGTTGACTCGAAAAAAAAATGAGTCAGAAAACTCAACCCAGCCAGACCCGAGCCGAGTTAGGATTAACTAGCGGGTTGGCTCGAAAAAAAGCTTGCAGATTAGCTCGGAAAAAAACTCGCAGGTTGGCTCAAAAAACCATGCATTTTCGTAGTTGTAATTAGCACATAATAAGCATCATTTATACATATCAGTGATAGAGATCAAGTAGCAAAGTTAATGAAATTCCCTAGCACACAGTTTTCAGACACGGAATTATAGTTAACATATTTAGTAATGCTTGAAGAAGCACTCGATCAAAACTTTTGCATACTTAAGACTACAACTAGAAAGTTAACTTCTTCCACTTAAATCCAATAACCCATCAATGCAATCCAAACCCCCCAAAAGAAAAGCAAGCTTCTGGAACAACCAGTGAATTACTCAATTTTCAGAAACACTACAGCAAACCAACAATATAGAGAAAATAAATAAATAAATAATTAATTAAGTCAGTTACCATTTACCAATACCACTTTCCAGAGACATCCTTAATAGGAAAAGTAAGCTTCTTTCACTCAAATCCAACATCCCATTGACATCTTCCAAACCCCAACACTTGTCTACTAAGAAATTACTCAGTTTTCTCAAATATAAGGGCAAAACAACAATACAAAGAAAAAACCCAGTAGCGAGTACATCATTCCAGACATACCCACAAGAGGAAAAGCATTAATTTTTTTTATTTTTTTTATTATTTTTGTTTTGCTTATCACTTAAAGCCAATGCATGTAAACCCAAGAATTCAAATTCATTAAGAACCCAATTGGTTTTAGAGGCAAAAGCGAAAAACCGAATTGGAAAAGGAAAAGACCTTATCAGAGGAATGGGGTTTGGAGTGAGATATTATTATTATGACGCTGACGGATGAAAGAAAGAGACGCTGACGGCAGTTTTTTATATTATTATTTTTAATTAAAAAAAAACACAACCTGCGAGGCTCTTTTTTTACTGGGTTGACTTGAGTTAAGTTGACTCAGGTTGACAACTTATTTATATCAACTCAATCCGGTTTATTTTTGATGGATTACGAGTCAACCCGACTCGTTAGTTTGTTTTTTCTAACCCTGTATATAATGATTTGTTAGTGGGATAAATTATTAAAATAAAATAAAAAATAAAATAAAATAAAGACTCCAAAAATAAAATATGTCAAACACGTACTTATTTAGTTAGTGAATTTTTTTAGGGAGTCTCTTGATGTCAATTGTCCAAATTTGGCATGGGTGTCGCTGTCTCGCCGGTGTGCACTAGGCGTGAAGGCCCTCGGAGGATCAAAATGGGTCATGGATGGCAATCCTCCAATTAAACTCTGACTCTTCCATAACCGGAAAAAAAAAAAAAAAAAAAACACTTCGGTCGTTCTTGTCACTTTATGTTCTGACTTCTGACCTTTCTTTAAATAATAAAATAAAAAATACTAGATGCAGTGGCCAGAGAAAAAAATATATTTGTATAAAGTTTAGTACTTTTTTTATATATATAAAAGTTTAAATGAGATTAGATATCGGTATTTCATTAGAGTCAGAAAAGACTCCCAACTTTTTTTGAAGACTTTTGAAAGAGATTACATATCACCTACCAACAAAGCCCTCATATCCGTCAGCCGAGTTTCGACCCACAAACTTGTAGGATATGGATCAGATAAATTTAGGGAATAAAATTTTTCTTCTTGTTGGAGAAATGTGTTCACTTGCAACAGAATTTTTGATTTTTGTGTAATATATAAATATTTTTAAAGGGAAGAATAGTTTTTTTGTTATAGGAAAATCATGTTTTTATGCTAGTGAAAGATTCATTTCGTGCCAACATTTATTTTTATTTTTATTTTTAAAAAATCAATATGGCCCACTTCATTGTACGGAAAAAGTTCTCCTCTTATGTTTATGTAGAAGATGCAACCCCTTTTTTTTAAAGGTTGGTGGGACCCACATGTTTTACAGGTTAGTGGAAGAAAAAAAAATTATTCTGAGAAATGTAAAACCCTTGATATTAATATACTTTTACATAAAGTTTCCATCCCCGTATGATATTTGAGTTTTAACGTATCATATCATGTTGCATGACATTTTTAGTGTTATATTACTCTCACATGACAAATGAGACCCGCCTTGTTTTTTTTTTTGTTTTTAAGTGAGACTCGCATCAAATGTATTAGAGTAATATGACACTAAAAGTGTCTTATAACAACATATATAAAACCCATGGTATATATATTCAAACATGATTTAGATATAAATATTCCTTAATATTAAATTTTTATTCACGCATGATGTTATGATGTTAAATATTTGCCTTTAAGATTTAAAAATTAGTACGCTTTTATACAAAGTTTCCACCTTATGCGATGTAAATATTTACCCTTATTATTGTAAAATTTTCATGCACAACGATGAAGGCACACGCAATCATGAATAGAGATTGTTTCAAAATAAATTTTTAAGGTACAGGTTAGAAGTGGTATATGCTCTACAATAATGTCGTGCAAATGAGAAATTATACAGATGGGGATAAGAATCTTTTTAATTGTTTTTATTATTCTTTAACACAGTTTTGGATTGGAGGATAAGGATTGAACTCATGACTTTATAATCACTGAAATTCTGTAAAGAATTACTCCAACCAAAAAATTTAAGATATTGGATAAAGACTTTTTTAATGATTTATATTAACATGATGTATACAAATAATGTTAATAAGAAAATAATTAATAAACATTCTCGCAAAACCTTGATAACCCATAGAAGACAAATAAATGAAAGCCATTATTCTTAGGGAAAAGTGTGTATAATTTTGAAGGATGTAAAGTTGTGTCATTTTAAGAGAGAGAAAGAGATAGATAAAAGAGGAGAGAGAGTTGACAAAAAAAAATAAAGTTGTGGGTCCCACCTCTTTGTGAGAGTGAAAGGATGTAAGTTGTGTAATTTAAAAGTATAGACACTTTTCCCTTATTCTTAATTAGGGTGGCGAAATATATATATATATATATATATATATATATATATATATATATATATATATATTTTATAGCATCTCGTATATAATGTCAACAAGGCAGCACCAGCAGATTTGTAAAATGTATCCACTGTTGAGATATATAATCTTATATTGGTTGTATAAGAAACTAATGTGGAGTTGATAAGGCTTTGGACACTCCCACCCTTTGAGCTAGTTTTTGAGGTGGTGTATTTCAAAGTTCTTAACATGGTATCAGAGCCTAGTGTTCCGGGTTCGAGTTCTCGTCGCCCCCCACTTTCTCTTGTGGAATTTCTTAGCACAAGTAAGTTGGGCCTGTTGCATCATCCACTCTCCTCTTGTGTGAGGGGACGTGTTAAGATATATAGTCCTACATTGTTTCTATGAACAACTAACGTGGAGTTTATAAAGTCACTCT